CAGCCGCCAGAGTTCTATTGGAATGGCATCCATAGTTTGCATAAACGTTGGCGTGAAGTGATAGAGGCCAATGGTGATTACATTCATGATTGAGATGATTTTGCTTTTAAATAAACTGGGTTGTAATAATTGTTCATGAAATTCCAAGAACTTTCTTTCCAATCAGATACCTTACCCTTTTGTGGTTGTATTTTTGTAGTGAGTGGCATGGGGAAAAAGTCTGAGGATGAGACCCCTGCTCGCCCACTCAGAGCAGATGAAAGACCCATAAGTCCTTCTCCAGGTTTGTCATTCAGAGCTTCCTTACTTGAGTGCAAAGCTACTCCACATGGGCTCACTAAGCAGCCCTATATCAGGGCTGATTTTATTATCTTCTAGAAGGTTTCATGCTGTTTTCTTAAAAATGGAATGCACCCAAAAGAATCTAGCATAAAGCAGTAAAGTTCTTAAAGATGTTTAAATCCCCTTAATCTCCAATTTTCCTGTCTTTCTTGGCTGCATGTCTCTGTACACAATTGATGCCATCAACATTTGAAGTAGGCTCATGGCTGTTAGTTATTACTAACTTTTATTAATGGGAACACAAGTACTCTTATCATCTATCATAACATTCCATGATGCCATAAATTTGCCAATTTCTAATGTATGATATGGTTGAAACTAGATTAATCAAAATTAGTGATACTACAGGGTCTGCCAAAAGTCATTGATGCATTTCAAATGTTTTCCAGGTTTATTTTTTAACTGTTTTAACTTTTTCCCCCTGGTGATTACAGCTAATAATTTGGAGTTTATACAATGACAGTTTTAGAATTCTAGCTCAAATATGTTAACAGCAAAATGTACAAGTGTGAACTTATTCTTAGAGACTAAGCCTGTTGCCCATACTCAAAGTGGTTATCGCCATCAGTTTAACTTTCACATAGTGCCTGCTTGAAGTACTATCTTGAATCTTGTTGAAACTGTTCAAATTCTAAAATTAAATCATTTCATTCAAGGCAGAGCAAAATTGGACTCCACATTCTCCTGATCTGCCTCCACTGGATTACTTTTCTGCGAGGCTGCATGAAAGATCATGTGTATTGTGCCCAATGAATGTTCTACACACTATTCTTTCTAACATACTAGGAATAATTGTGATCAGCAGCATGCTATTCATTTGTAAAATAAAGATTTCAGGGTGTGGCAAAAGAGGAAAAGGGAGGTAAGTCATAGCTATCCACTATTGCATTTTTCATTTCCAAAACAATTAGGGATATTTTTCATCAATCATCACTATTCTATGAGTTTCCTTCATTTATGGATAATATTTCCATATTTCTTTGTGTCCTGCAGAGGAGATGACTAATGATGCTGTGAAGGTATCAAAGTTTGCTGTGAAAGAGGATACCAGTCAAGGGATTGTATTGCCAGCATTCTTGGCACTTCTTCTCCTTGTTGTGGTTCTTGCTGTTGTCATTGTTTATCGAAAGAGATCTCAGCACCGTAAGCTACTATTTCTTCCCCCAGTAATGTATCTAACCCCTTTTTCATCCATCAATAGTATTTTTTGGGATTCTTTTCCCCAGGTAAGAGTGTGAAAGCATACACAAAGACAGAGAAGTTTGCAGAACGACATGAGGGATTCCGGAAGCTGAACACGCATGACACAGATGATGACGACAGTGGAGACAGTGACACCGAGGTCTTCAATCGGGCCAGCACTGTCCGCCAGTGATGCCATCATCCATCAGTGATGTCTTATCCTGTTCTGAGTCTGCATTTGTCTGCCTCAATGGCCTGTTTTACACTGGGAGGGATCTGCACAGCTTCTGGCTATGAGACATACCTTCCTTTCAGTACTATATGGAGTACTTGTGTGATGATCTTGCCAAGGTAGACAGACAAACATGTCTGCTAGGTGTTCACCATCGTGATGCTGACTTTATTGCTTTGTTTCAATTCATGTGATGACCCAAGAGTAGTTGTACTTGAAACACATACATTCCTGTAGCAAGCTAGTCTTTTTTCTCTCATGGTATAGTAGACTGCCAACTTTCGTAAAACTGCTTTACAATATTTCATTGTCCAAATGGCATTCAAATCAGAACTATTTGTTTGTGTTCCTTTTCTATGGTTGTAGATCTGCTTCAAACAGATGGTAAGTACTGTACCTGATGTGAACTGGATGGTGATTGATTTAAGCTGGATTTATTTTTCTGATGCATATTTAGTGAAAAGTCTCTTTGTGGACTCTATTGCTTCCTGTCTTTCACATAGTTCTTCAAGAATATATATTGTAAACCCTATCAACACCTGTATACAGAATCTAGGGAACTTATTTCGAGCATTTGTACAGTATTTTGGTGGAATAAGTTCAGTGTGCAACAGAACACTATGATTGTGTGAGTTTCTTATGCATATTGTTATGTAGATTAATCCAAGTTCACTCTACTGCCTCCAAATCTCAACCAGTGATCTTGAAAGTGCACACCTTCTCTAGTATCTAATAATGTATAAAATATATTCAGGGACTGAAGGCTATTAGGGATCTTTACTCTTCAAAAACTTAAGAGTAAGTACATTGACTATTACCTTCTCAAGCAAAAGTTTGTAATTCAGGCCCAGGGTCTAGAGAAGTTCTCTGGAAAGAAAGTCCCATAGCATTAGTTGGAATTTTTAAATCTTGCAGTTGACTACCCTTTGCCCTTACACTATAGTAATTCTTGCATCTTGCTTAGATACTGAGGTTCAAGTTGAGATTCTGGCATTTATGAAATCATGATGGGATATCCTGTTGCAAATGATTAGATTGTAGTGAATGAAACCATGAAAGTGGTTCCTATAGTATGTCAGAATTTTACACATTCTTGAAATATAATTTTATCTGCTGGTCCTACCTCTGGTCCATGCAGTATTCTCTGTGATAATGAGAACATTTCTGCATTTTACTGTTCACCAAAAATTGTATATGGATTCATTGCTACAGCCTTTGCAGCTGCCTATGAATATTCCTTTGCCTTTGCTTTTAGTGTTATATTTAAATAATAAAAAAAGAGTTTGTCTCATTTAACTGGAGTGCTAAATAAGTAATGGTGAAGTTCATTTCAATCTGCATCAGATTGTGACTTGTGATATGCCCATCATTGATATGGATCTGCCCAGATCTAGCTGACAATGTCAGACACTGCCTTTGTGATGTTAGGTTTTGAAATTTACTTTTAGATCTGAACCTTCTTCAGGTCCATTCAGTACTCTTTTTATGACTGACCATTCCTGCTATTTTCTTTTGAACAATTATGAACAAGTTCCTTGCCACAATGCTTCAACTGCCTGTTCTGCCCCTGCTTTCAGTGTTTTGAAAAAGTGTGTATTGTCTGATTGAAATGCTAAATCATTAGGGTGGATTGGAGTCAGCATAATTAGAAAATGATTCTATGCTCACCTTGTGATGACCAATCAGTGTCTTCTGCCTTTATTATGCACTTCAGAATTTTCTCAATGGTTTCCATCATGCCATTCAATTTTATTTGGTAAATTCTTCTTGGAAAATTGAACTCAGTGTATGGTTGTGTTGTAACCTTTTAACTTCTACATTCGGTTCTGCATGCCGACCAATTCTCCTTGCATGTGATATTGTGCTTGTCAGAGGAAAAGGGGAATAAATGTGACATGAGTGATGAGGTGTAATACCATTTCTTATATTTTCGTTTCTTTTCAATCGATGGTGAATTCGCAGTCTCAGAAGTGGTTGAAGATGATGTTGGCTTCAGGTGTGATGAACTATGGGAAGGAGGAATCTGTTCTGCCTGTCCTGTGACGTACAGTTCATGGACTGTGTGCTGGGATTTGTGGCTGAGCACTAGATTCAGATTCCTTTCTCTTCACATGTATTACAAAACTGCAAGCTTTTGTAGTCCTACCTGAAAATACTTCTAGAACAGTACCCATGCAGCACGGTGGCATCCCAGGGATGTCTTCAACCAGGTGACTTGTCCCAAGGTCTTTATGGGACATCCTAAGGACATCTTCAGTTGGGCAGTTTCCAAAATCTCTAAAGGGATGTCTTCAGGACATCTGTCGAATACTTATCGATATCCCGAAAGGGACATCTTTAAGACATCCTTGGTCGAATGCTTCTGAATATCCCGTAAGGGATGCCTTTAAGATATCTTGAGGAGAATGTATTCAGACGGTAGATGTCTCCCACGTGCCTGATCTCCAACCTCAGATCTTTTCTTCCATCAAATTTATTTTTACAGATAAGTAATGATTTTCGTACCGTACATCAGGAAAACTGCCACTGATGAAAAACTTGAGGTCCTGATTAAAATTTATTTCATTATGTTCTCTTTGATAACTGACCGGCATGTCTGAATACCATTATCCTGGTTGGAAATCGGAGCCCATGCTTCAACATTGGAGAAGTAAGGCTTACATATCTCCTCCATGAGACTGGGCGACTTCTCGTAATAAAGGCTCAATTTTACGCATGAACATGTCTCTCTTATTTGAGGTCATTCAAGCAAAAGATTTCCCTCCCTCTTTGTCATTATTTTCCAATTTGTCAAGAAGTAAAGAGTGGGTAGTCCAATAGGATCAAGTAGTGACATAGTAATAAAGGGTTGACCGGTTTGGTAGGAAATGAGCCCGTTTAATTAAGAAAGGCACCAAATATTTTGATCTCGCTGAGATGTCCGAGCAAATAGTGTCTGGGACTTCATCACTTGTCCCTAGGCGAGATCTCGGGAATATACTTGTTCTGCAAGAAAGGGACATTCTTGGGATGTCTTTGCGCCCAGACATTTTCATATCCCTGGTAGATGTCTCTGGAATTTCTCACATGTCCCAAGTGGATATATTTGGTATGTACAGTCGACTCCGCATATTGGAATACTCACGGGACCAGCGAACTTTATTCTGTAATCTATTCCAATAACCGAAACTATCTGCTTTATCGTACCGTAAATCGGGATCATGCAATGGTATTCCATTATGCGGAGTCGACTGTTGTATACAACTTGTGGGATGTAACATTTCGCAAGTCCAGCCTGCAGCCCTGTCTACACTGCCGCATGGAGACGCACACCGTTTCTCGACTAAGGATCCATCAGCTGCCCAGGCTGGAAGGGAACAGGAAGTTCCAATCGATAACTGATACCCTTCATGGCTACATATGCGATTCGAGTTCCAGAGCCAGGAAGACTCAAGTTTCTTGGTGCATTTCCTGCAGTGACCAAATCTCACATTTTAAAATTTGCCGCGAAAACTTTTTTTTTCCACATGAGTCTTGCCTTAAGAGCTTAATCAGTATCTTATCTGTGTTTATTAGCATATTAACTTCCTCAGCGATCATGTCAGTATTCTATCCGTTATCGTTGGCTATAGAGTGCAATAGCAACTGCGAATGAAAGGAAAAATTGACAAAATAAAGAGGCAAACCGATCGTTCTATCTCTATATCTGCCATTTTCCCACAGGTCACAATGGGAATGATAAATAATGACTGCAATTGACAGGTCCCGATCCCAACCAACGATATGGTACAGAGAAAGGACTTGTAAATGAGCGGGATCGGGAACACCTTCTACGGTGGATAACAGCTGTATCCGACCGAAGCCGAAACCGGATCGGAAAATCCGACTGGCCACATTTTTCGAAACTTCTTTCTTTACTCAAAGGAACTTCTTCCTTTACTCATCTGTTGTTAGCTGTTCTTATCGAGAGAGAAACAATGTATCGTGTCTGGCATTGAGATGTATTGGTCTATTACCAAGTTTTCATAGTTTGAAATCGATTCAATGCAGCCCAAACTCTCGATAGAACCAAACTCCTGAAGAGTGATCCTTCCCCTCCCTCCTTTTGATCTAGTATAGTTGATCCTAAATATAATGGAGATGGTGCCAGTGAGAATATGCCGGTACTAGCACCATCTAATCACCATTCAAGACGTTATTGCAGGGCTTTATGGAGGAATGCATCCCC